ATGACCAATGAATAAAGAAATTAAGAAGGAAACTGAAAATGTTCTTGAAACAAATGACAATGAAAACACAACATATCAAAACCTATGAGATACAGTGAAAGCAGTATTAAGAGGGAAGTCTTATAGCTATAAGTGCCTACATCAAAAAAGAAGAAAAACCTCAAATTAACAACCCAATGATGCATCTTAAAAAAACTAGAAAAGGGCAAACAAAACCCAAAGTTAGTAGGAGAAATGAAATAATAAAGATCAGAGCAGAAATAAATGAAATTTCAATGAAGAAAACAATATAAAAGATCAACTGGTTTTCTGAAAAGATAAAATTAACAAACCTTTAGCCAGACGAAGAAAAAAAGAGAGAAGGCCCAAATAAATAAAATCAGAGATTAGAAAAAAAGAGACATTACAACCAATATCTCAGGAATTAAAGGATCATTAGAGACTACCATGAGCAACTGTATGCTGATAAATTAAAGGATCACAGAAATTAAAGGATCTCTAATAGACTACCATGAGCAACTGTATGTCAATAAATTGGAAAACCTAGAAATTGATAAATCTCTAAATACTAAAACCTACCAAGATTGAACTATATAGAAATCCAAAACCTGAACAGACCAATCACAAGTAATGAGATCAAATCTCTAATGAAAAGTCTCTCAGCAAAGAAAAGCCCAGATGGCTTCACTGCTGAATTTTATCAAACATTTAAAGAAGACCTAATATCAACCCTACTCTAACGATTCCAGGAAATAGAGGAGGAGGGAATACTTCCAAACCCGTTATATGAGACCAATATCACTTTCATACCAAAACCATACAAAGACCCATCAAAAAAAGAAAACTATGGGCCAATATCTCTGATTAATGTTAATGCAAAAATCCTCAACAAAATACTAGCAAACTGAATTCAGTAACACATTGAAAAGATTATTCATCATGACCAAATAGAATTTATCTCAGTGACACAAAGATGGTTCAACACAGCAAATCAATGTGATACATAATATCAACAAAATGAAGGGGAAAAATCATATGATCATCTCATCTCCATAGATGCAGAAAAATCATTTGATAAAATTCAACATCCCTGCATGATAAAAACCTTAAAAAAAAAACTGGGTATAGAAGGAACATTAATCAACATAATAGAAGCCATATACAACAGACCCACAGCTAGTATCATACTGAGAGAGGAAACATCAAAAGCCTTTCTTCTAAGATCTGGGACGTGACAATTTCACAAGGGTGTGAAAATTTTTACCACATTATTCAACATAGTACTGTAAATCCTCATTAGAGCAATCAGACAAGAGAAAGAAATAATAAAGCATCCAAATTTGAAAGGAAGAGGTCAAGTTATCATTGTTTGCAGATAATATGATCTTATATTTAGAAAAACCTAAAGTCTCCACCAAAAAAAAAAAAAAGAAACTATTAGAACTGATAAATTCAGTAATGTTGTAGGATACAAAATCGTACAAAAATCATTAAAATTTCTATATGCCAACTGAGAACAATCTGAAAAAAGAAAATTTAAAAAGTAATTGCATTTACAGTAGCCACACATAAAATTAAATACGTAGAAGTTAACCAAAGAAATAAAAGATCTCTAGAATGAAAGCTATACAAAACTGGAGAAAGAAATTGAAGACGACACAAAAAATGGAAAGCTATTCCATGTTCAAGCATTGGAAGAATCAGTATTGTTAAAATGTCCATAGTATTCAAAGCAATCTACAGATTCAATGCAATCCCCATCAAACTACTAATGATATTCCTCACAGAAATAGAAAACACAATCCTTATTTATATGAAAACACAAAAGACCTAGAATAGCTAAAGCTACCCTGAGCAAGAACAACAAAACTGAAGGAATCACAATACCTGACTTCAAATTATACTACAGAAGTATAGTAACCAAAACATCACGGTACTGCCATAAAAACAGACACACAGACCAGTGGAACAGAATGGAGAACCCAGAAAGAAATCCATACATCTACAGTAAACTCATTTTTTACAGCAGTCCCAAAAACATCCACTGGGGAAAAGGCACTCTCTTCAATAAATGGTGCTGGGAAAACTGGATATCCATATGTAGAAGAATGAATCTACACCCCTATCTCTTGCCATATGCAAAAATCAAATCCAAATGGATTAAAGACTTAAATCTAAGACCTCACACTCTGAAATTACTACAAGAAAACTTTGGGGAAACTCTCCAGGACTTTGGATTGGGCAAAGATTTCTTGAGTAAATACCTGGGAAGCACAGGCAACCAAAGCAAAAATGAACAAATGGGATCACATCAGGTACAAAAACTTCTGCACAGCAAAGGAAACAATCAGCAAAGTGAAGAGACAACAGAAAGAATGGGTGAAAATATTTGCAAACTACCAATCTGACAAGGAATAAATAACCAGAATATACAAGGAGCTCAAACAACTCTGTAGGAAAAAACATCTAAAAATCTACTTTAAAAATGGGCAAAAGATCTGAATAGACATTTCTCAAAAGAAAACATACAAGTGGCAAACAGGTACATGAAAAGGTGCTCAACATCAATGATCATCAGAGAAATGCAAATCAAAACTACAGTGAAATAGCATCTCACTCCAATTAAAATGGCTATTATCCAAAAGACAGGCAATAACAAATGGCTGTTATCCAAAAGACAGGAAAAGATGTGGAGAAAAGGGAACCCTCGTACACTTTTGGTGAAAATGTAAATTAGTACAACCACTATGTAGAAGAGTTTGGAGGTTCCTCAAAAAACTAAAAGTAGAGTTACCAAATGATCCAGCAATTCTACTCTTAGATATATACTCCAAAGAAAGGAAATAAATGTTTAGAAGAGGTATCTGCGCTCCCGTGTTTATTGCAGCACTTCTCACAATAGCCTACATTTGGAAGCAACCTAAGTGTCCATCAACAGGTGAATGGATAAAGAAAATGTGGTACACTGACACAACACAGTGCTATTCAGCCATAAAAAAAGAATGAGATCCTGTCATAAAAAAAAGAATGAGATCCTATCCATAACATGGATGGAACTGGAGGTCATTACATTAATTGAAATAAGCCAGGTACAGAAAGACAAACTTTGCATGTTCTTACTTATTTCTGGGAGCCAAAAATTAAGAGTTGAACTCATGGAGATCAAGAATAGAATGATGGTTATCAGAGGCTGGGAAGGATAGTGAGGGGGTGGAGGGGAACTGAGGATGGTTAATGTGCACAAACAAAATAGAATGGATAAGATGTAGTGTTTGGTAACACAGAAGGGTGACTATAGTCAACAAAATTTTACTGTACATTTAAAAATAACTGAGAGAGTATTACTGAATTGTTTGTAACACAAAGGATCAAGGCTTCAGGTGATGGATATTCCATTTACCCTGATGTGATTATTACACATTGTATGCCTGTATTAAAATATCCCATCTACCCCATAAATATGTACATCTGCTATGTACCCACATAAATTAAAAACTTTGAGAACCCTGAGTGTTTCCTTTCCAATATAACTAAGCATTCTAAATGCAACTTTGAATGAAAATTTCTTTATATGCCTCAAATTTGAAAATATGTAAGCCAATCAAAGAACGTGTATTTATTATTGGAGACTCAATAATTAATGATGACAAGCTGTTAAGCTACAGAAGTGGTTCTCAAGCAGGCATGATTTTGCTCCCTAGGGAGCACTGTCAACTCTGGAGACATTTTTGGATGTCATGCTATGGGGAGGAGGGAGGAGATGCTGTTGGCATCTTGTAGATACAGGCCAAGGATTTCTTGTAATACACAGGACAGCCTCAATGTCAACAGTGCTAAGGTTGGGAAATGCTGGGCAAGAAGAATTGAAAGCCTTGGGCCAGGGTCTTCCAAAAAAAGACTAGGCACACCTGTCCAGCAAGAGCTGGACCCACTGAGCTGTCCTCTATGGCAGACAGAGAGGAAGAAATATCCTCCCCCTCCACCTTCTGTCTTTTTGGCTGTGAACTAAATGACCATAACAAGGAAAAATAAGGTATTTTCCTATCACTGTATGGAAGTTTCCATTTAGCCTACTACACAGATTAGAAAAAGGTATTCCCCTGACTTGACAGAGCCCCGTTTGTACATGGCTTGCTGAGTGGACCACAAGCTGGATTTAAGCTTTCACTTACCCTCTCAACTGGTCACCTTTGTGCAGTGCACAAACTATACAGTCTTGCATGGCGGTCCTCAATAGAAGCACTAGTCCCACTAATACTACAAAACTTCATACAGCTTTTAATATGTGGTAACCATGAGATAACTCATAATAAGAGTAATTAAAAGGAGAATAAGACTGATTGAAAAGAAGATCAGAGAAGAGGCATCTAAAAGTGAGATGGGGGTTTGTGGCAGTTATCTTAGAATGATAAGTTGCCAAATGTAGGCTCTCTGTCAGGAACCCAATGCAAACACTGGAACAAAGAAAGACACAAGAAAAGATTAAAAGGGCAGATATCTTTAAAAGCTTGGGAAAAATAGCTATAACTGGGGAGGGGCAAGAGAGAGTAAAGAAAGGGAATGATTACCTTGAGCTCCTATGTGGAAAAAGTCTGTTGGGGATTACTTTTAAAATTCGAATTAAACTGGCTTGGCAGTTTAACGAGGCGCTGTCACCTACACCCTTTGAAAGCTATAGACCAAATATCTTAGTTAAAGCTTATAAAGATTTACCTTAATGATGGTTAATTAGTAAAAAAAGTGGCTATCAAATAAGAAATAAGAGGAAACAAGCTCAAGAGTCATAAGAAAATTTAAATAAACTGTAGTGAAGAACTTGTGCCAGAGAAAGTTTCTAAATATCAAAAATAATCTTAGATTTACAAATTTAGTTGCAGAAAATGTTATAGAATATACTTGATTCTCTGGAAAGATATTTAAAAATATGTATCTGCTTGAGGTAGTTCTGAATAAAGACAGGAAGAAAATGAGCTAAGCTAAAAAGAAAATTTTGGAGTATTTAAAAGTAGGATGTATACTATCTCTGTGAGATGATTTTGTGAAGAAAATAGAATATCCAAGATTTTAACTCTTCTGCCAATGACCTGTTTACAGAATTAGAGGAGATGGCACTGACTGGAGTGACAGAAGCGGTGCCAGTTCTCCCCACCATCAAGAGTATCTTCTGCTATGCCTGACACAAGGTGTGAAATTTCATTTTTAAAGATTTACTGCTCTGATTTGTCACTGTTATGGTTAAAATGCTGTAGTGCTCTCTGAGAGTTAAAGGACATAACTTGTGAAAAGTCATTAATTTCCTGGTACTAATTTAAATTTGATAATTATCAGGAGGGGCTTAAAGGGGGCCAAAATTACCTTTTGGAAGGGTTTAATTGATATTACAATAGTCTGCTCAAAGTCTGTGAGAGTATGAATGCCTATTTGTAAATCTGTCATACACACATATATCAGAAATGACAATTATACAGTATACACAAATGTGTTTGTGAGTATGTTTGCGCACAACTATGCATTAACCAAATACCTACACACCTGGTGTGGTATTGTATTTGATCCACTGTAAAAGTTCTTCCTGAGGCAAATTATTAAATTCTCCTATTATGTTCCATTGATTATGGAGGTTTGCATAACCTTGTATTGACATCACTGTTAAAATGCCAAAGATAACATTCTCAAAACGAACTCTGCGAAAAAGCCAGCCAAAGAGCTGAAACGACAGAAACCATTTATTTATAGTTTTTATATAAGAGTACTGTAGGGTCAACAATAAATTCTCACCTTGTTACTCAAACCAATGTGGATTACCCTTTGATATCAGCACATATGTATACAGAATTACCATCTCCGGTTGTTTCTAAAGCAACGAATATGTTGGCATTACAGGGCCCAGGTGAAAATGGAACTTTCTCTCCCCTGGAAAGAATTAAGGAAGGAATGCCTGATCCTTCTAGTACTAATTTACTACAAAGGATTAAAATAAACAAATCACAACTGTGAAACATCTTAGAACTAAATCCTTTCATCCTTGGCTGCCTTTTGTGTACATCGTTAGTAGACAGGGAAGCCCTATTAGCTTGACATATATAGATTCTTCTCAGGAAAACAGGCATTATGGTATTTTAAGGCTATAAGCTCAAACTAAGTTGTCTGTAGAAGTACCTTAGGCCCAATATTCTAATTTATCTAGTTCTTTTGTATGTTAGATACAGTGATAGAACCCCAGAATTTCTTACAGATTCTTCGAGCCAAACAGGACCGTAGTAGAGCAATTACTCTGCATCTGCTCTGGTATTGGATGAGTACTTCAGGGTACTTGTGGTGAACCAGGAAACTCTTTTTTTTTTTTTTTTTTTTTTGAGACAGAGTCTCACTCGTCTCCCAGACTGAAATGCAGTGGTGCGACCTCAGCTCACTTCAACCTCCACTTCTCAGGTTCAAACAATAATCCTGCCTCAGCCTCCTGAGTAGCTGGGATTACAGGTACACACCACCATGCCCAGCTAATTTTTGTATTTTAGTAGAGACAGGGTTTCACCATGTTGGCCAGGCTGGTCTTGAACTCCTTACCTCAAGTGAGCTGCCCACCTCGGCCTTCCAAAGTGCTGGGATTTCAGCTGTCAGCCACTGTGCCCGGCCACCAGGAAACACTTTTTTTTTTTTTTGAGACAGAGTCTCACTCTGTCACCCAGGTTAGAGTGTTGTGGCGTGATCTTGGCTGACTGCAGCCTCTGCCTCCCAGGTTCAAGTGATTCTCCTGCCTCAGCCTCCCAAGTAGCTAGAATTACAGGCACTCGCCACCATGCCCGGCTAATTTTTTAATTTTAGTAGAGATGGGGTTTCACCATGTTGGCCAGGATGGTCTCGAATTCCTGGCCTCAAGTGATCCATCCATCTCCGCCTCCCAAAGTGCTGGGATTACAGGTGTGAGCCACTGTGCCAGGCACTCTTACACAAACCCGAACTCCAAAAGGTTATGTTCATGGACAGGATATTAACAGAGGGGAAATGTTTGCCTAATCACTTGTTATAGAAATATCAATTAAAATCTAGAAATACTTTTCAAAGCCACTTGAAATTGTTTTTCTTGCTTATAGTGAATCATGAAGTAATATTTTAAATCCTTTAAGTTAGTTAAGTTAAAAACACTTAGTGTGTTTATATTTTGAATTAGCAAAGCCGCAGTAACTACTAAGTGTAGCTGCTATAGTTTTAACAGTATTGTTACACAAGAATGAATTCCTTACCTGTCGAGAGCATATCAAGGAAGCCATAACACACATGTGCGGCGTCAAAAACAGTTTTAGCCTCATAATTAAAATGGCAAGGGCAGTAAACGCTAACAACTGCAATGTGTGAAAAGCCAGCTACAGAAACACAAATAAGGCACAATGACATTTTTATATTTCATATTTTTAAATTAATGAAGTATATTAAAACTATATTATTCATTAAGACAAGGATCTTCTAACTTAGTAATGAGCCTATTAGCATTCATTCATTCAGCAACAATTTATCGAACGCCTACTATGTTCCAGGTCCTCTTCTGGGTGCTTCAGATACAACAGTGAGCAATTTCTGCCTTTGTATTACATGTAAGTACATTTAGTAACGAAAGACAGACAATACATAGACATAGCAAATACATAAATCCATTACATAGTCTACGGTAAGGCAATAAGTGCAGCCGGCAAGAAAATGGAGCAGGCAGAGGAGCCAGGGAGAGCAGGAGGTGGTGCGAGGAGGCGGAGGACCAACACAGCGGGCCTCACTGTAAAGTGACAAAGTTACCAATGCATCCCTGATCCAAAAATCTGAAATCTACAATGCTCTGAAATCTGAAACTTTTGAGTACCAATGTGATGTTCAAAGGTTATGCTAAAACAAATGCTCATTGAAGCATTTTGGATTTTGGATTTTCAGATTAGGGATCTCAACTAGTAACTACAGTGTAAATATTCCAAAATTCAATAAAATCTGAAGTCTGAAACGCCTCTAGTCCTAAGCACTTTGGATAAAGGATACTCAACATGTGTCATAAACTATCCCTATTAAGTTCAAATTCAGTTACCCACTCCTGTAAATTTGACCTTTACCTCAACACCCACTTAAAGTTCTATCAAATAGGAAATATTTCCAGCCCACACTGATCTTTTCCTTTTTATGCCACAAAATAATTTTACACCATATAAAATGTTGTCGTATTTGTCTCCTTTGTAAAATTACACATATTGAAGGGCAGCAACATTACTTTAGTATCTTTTGTATCCTTCAACATTTCTGAGCTTGTTGCTGACTGACCAGCAAATCTACGTGGTGGCAGATGGCCACCAGTCACAGGGCGAGGGGTGCCTGCCCTAATGGACTGTAGCTGATTAGCTCTGCAGGCTAGAAACCAAATGCTTGTTATTGTAAAATGAATGCAATTTAATTTAATTCTGTACTATAGTCACAAATCAGCCTTCTAGCTTTTAAATCCTTATTACTATTCAAAAGTGAGAGCGGATGAAAGAGTGAGGAGGATCAGCAGAAATGTATCACCAATGCTGACAACTCACGACTGATGGTGCGTCAGAAGCAGGTTATACCTTTGTCAATTATCCTCAAACTAGAATGTAATACACAAGTCTACTTGAGATTAAAATGAAAGCTTTACCTCACCGTGTTCAAGGAGCTGTTTTCTAGAATAAAACAAAAATATTATCTATTTACTGAATGTCTCTTATACTATGAATACATAAAAATAAGCTTCATTTGTTTGATCTTTGATTTTAAAAATCTGACTATCTTCTAAACTACTTAGGAACATACATAAAAATAAAAATATCGGATAATACTACAAAAATTACAACAATTTAAAAGTCATAATTTAGTTATTTGGTTAAGACAAAATAGATTTTACAGATCCCTGGAGATTGTACCTCTCATGAATAAATGAATAGGATGACCTTCTATTCAACCTATATCTACAGTGTATACAATACTTTAGATGACCACTGTTAAACTTTTGAGTTGTTTTCATTTTTCACAATTACAAATAGCATGGACACTCATGCATAAAACTCTGTAAGCATCTCTGAATATTTCCTTAGCATAAATTTCCAGAAGAAAAATTATTGGGTAAAACATAAATATTTTTAGTTTCAGAAAAGTTCTCCCTTTACAAAATATTTATAGTGCACCTACACAGTCCCTGCTTATCCTCCGATCCTCACATTCCAGTTTCAGTTACCTGTGGTCAACTGCAGTCCAAAAATATTAAATGAAAAGTTCCAGGAAGTAAACAATTCGTAAGTTTTAAATTGTGCACCATACGGAATAGTGAAATCTCAAGTCACCCTGCTTCATCCTACCTGGGATGTGACTCACCCCTTTGTCCAGCATATCCATGCTGTATACGTCACCGGCCTGTTAGTCACGTAGTTACCATTTCAGTTATCAGATGGACTCTGGTGGTATCTCAGTGCTTGTTTTCAAGTAACCCTTTTCTGACTTAATAATGGCCCCAAAGTGCAAGAGCAGTGATGCTGGCAGTTGAGATATGCCAAAGAGAAGCTGTAAAGTGCTTTCTTTAAGAAAAAAAGGTGAAAGTTCTCAAAAGAAAAAGCATCATATGCTGAGGTTGCTAAGATCTACAGTAAGAACAAATCTATCCATGAAATTGTGAAGAAGAAAAAATTAATGCTTGTTTTGCTGTTGCACCTAAAACTGCAAAAGTTATGGCCACAGTCCATGATAAGTACTTAGTTAAGATGGGAAAGGCATGAAATCTGTGGGTGAAAGACGTGAACAGAAATGTGTTCCGATGATGGTAATCAGGTGTGTTACTCTCTGCAGTTTCAAGACTGGGGGTCTTGGGATGCATCGCCCTGCAGATAAGGGCAACTGCTGTGCAGCATGAACAGTATGGACACAACACTTACCTTCATGGAGTTTATATTAGAGTAAGACAAGAGGTAGGAGACTACCTATTTTATTCTTCTCTTGAAAAGACTGGGTATTTTACTTTTATGCAAGGCTTTATAGCCTGCAGCTGCATTCTAATATGGATTTTGGGGGTGAAGAGAGAAATAAGTATGGAAAGTAAGTTCAGGGGTACGAGACCCATAGGTTTTTTAAAAGAGAAGTCAGGGGAAGGTCTCTTAAGGTAGTAGTGGAGCCCAAATTATTCTATCTCCCTTGTAGCTCCTATCCTTTGTATGCAGTAGGTTTTTTTTTAATAGAAGACAGGGAAGGTCTCTTAAGGTAATAGTGGAGACCAAATTATTCTATTTCCCTTGTAGCTCCTTCCCTGTGTATGCAGTTAATGGAGTGGGGTTTCCCCACTTGTCCCGAAATCTAGGCACAACAGATTTCTTCTAGGCAAAACTCAGCCTGGTAGGTGAGTAATTATTATAATCACCAAGAACCCTGAAAGTAACTACTGATACTTTATTTAAATCAAGTAGGTAATTAAAAATGTGAATATACAATCAAATCCCAAGACACAAATAGCATGAAAAGGAAACACCAAAATAAATGAGTAAAAAACTTGACCTCTCATGAAACAGCTAATGCAAATGAAAACTCCAGTTATTATTTTCACAGAAGTTTAAGAGGATAATGCATCCATATAATTAAAATAAGCTCCAGTGAAAAGGAGTTTTCAGAAATTCTAAGAAAAATATATTTGCCTAATTTAAAGCCTCAAAAGAAGGTTGAAGAGCAACATGTACACAGCTGAAGTTGACAGTATTAAAGACTCAGTGATGACATTCTCTGAGAACACAGAAAGAAAAGAAATAGATAATATGATAAAAGCAGTAACAGAAATTCAAAAAAGAGAGGCTAAAGCGAAAGAATAAGAGAACAACAACGCACACGCATCACCCCTCCAAACGTTATAGATTTCCAGAGAGAAAAACTATATAGGAATTTTCATCCGTAATGCTCAATGCTAGAACACAAAGAAGCAATGTCAACAAAATGTTGAATGAAACCCACAAATATCTATTAACTAATCTATCCATCAGATATGAGGGCAAAATAAAGCCATTTTTCAGGTGAGAAAGCACCCAGAAAGCATGCCAATTCTACATGTCAAGGAAAAATAAATCAGTAAAATTTGAAGTCAAGTCCAAAGATTGCTGGTGTCTTTAATGTAAATGCTTAGAGACTTCTTAGCAGCTAAGACAACAATCTAGAAGCAAATTTCAGCATAACCTGGAAGGAAAGGGTGTGTAGGCAGGGACAAGTAAAAATATTCTGACAGGTCAGTGCTGAAGCAAGCAGGTCTCTAAGTACAGAGCCTGAGTATGAATTCTGCCTCTATTACTCACTAGCTGTGTGCCTTTTGGAAAATTACTCACCTTCTTACCGGTTTCCTCATCTGTAAATAATGGGAATAACTGACTCCCTTCTCACAAGGTAGTTGTGAGGATTTACTGAGTTAACTGGTAAGAAGCTTAAAATACTATCAGACACACAGGAAATAATAACTGTTAGCTACTATTGTTGGTGGTAACAGGTTTTAGATGCTGATGAATTCTTAATATCAAGATGAATATATTTGCTAATAATTTAAGAAAAATCACCAGGAAATATAGAAATGGGATATAGCTAACAATTCAGTAAGTATCAAGAAAATAATTTTTGAAAAGCACGATGAATAGAAAACACAAAATCAGATGGCAGGAAGAAGTACAAACACAGCAGTTATCACAGTTAATATGAAAATGGGTTAAATTCACCAACTAGAAAATGAGTATTAGAGAAATTTGAATAGAAAAAAATCTAACAATGAGAAATATACCTACACCAAAATGTCATAAAAATGTTAAAAAAAAAAAGCATAAATACAGGTAAACCAGGCAAATCTATAAAAAAGAAAGCAGATGTGGCAATATTAATTTTCTACAAAGAAAAATTTACAGCAAAAACCACCAAGTAAAGCAAAGAATATCCTTTATAATAATGAAAAGCACAATCCTATAATAATCATGCAATGAACAACAGCACTATCTATATAAAGCAAACACTATTAAAATTACAAGACAATTTTGAAAAATTCATTTTTAATGTTGTATGTGAAGATAGCATTCTAAGAAAACAGATAAAGTAGAAAAATAAGTTGGTATACTAGACCATTTAGAATAGCACGTTAACAACACAATATAACATGCAACTTTGAATTTCCCCCAAATTAGAAATGAACATTTAAAACATCCTCAGAGCATTTACTAAAACTGAACATCCATCTCAATAAATAGCAAGTTAATTTTAAAGGCAAAATATACAACAGAAGAAACTAGTTAGATATTTTTTAAAATTATTATTATTTTGGAGACGGAGTCTCGCTCCATTGCCAGGCTGGAGCGCAGTGGCGATCTTGGCTCACTGCAACCTCCGACTGCTGGGTTCCAGTGATTCTCCTGCCTCAGCCTCTCAAGTAGCTGGGACTACAGGTGCAGGCACCACACCCGGCTAATTTTTGTATTTTTAGTAGAGACGACATTTCACTGTGTTGGCCAGGATGGTCTCAATCTCCTGACCTCGTGATCTGCCCACCTTGGCCTCCCAAAGTGCTGGGATTACAGGCATGAGCCACTGCACCTGGCCTAAAACTAGTTAGACATTTTAAGACATTCTTCTAATTGATTTTGGATTAAACGACCAAAACTCAAATCACAGACTACACAGAAATCAACATTAATGGTAATGCTACACACATCATGGGATACAGTGTGAATTTTCTTCAGAGAAAAAGTTATAACTTTAAATGTATTTACTAGGACACAATCATGATTGATAATAAATGATGTGAACTTTAAACACAGAAAAACAACAAAAGTGCGCCAAAAGAAAAACTAAGGACATAAAAATACAAGCAGAGATTAATAAAATGGAGAACAACCTTCATAAATATAATAAATAAAACCAAAAGCTGGTTTTATGAAAAATCCAAAACAGAATTACCTTGTTATGGACTACTGCAGCTGGCGACTTTCAGTTGAAGCCAATGTTCATTTACCACTTTGAAAATCCTGAGGCCTTTTTTCAGAATTATGCTAAATCTACTCTGCCTCTACTCTACAAATGGAACAAGCCCGGATGACAGCACATCTGTCATAGCATGATTTACTGAATATTTTAAACCCACTCTTGAGACCCACTTCCCAGAAAAAAAGATTCCTTTCAAAATATTATTGCTCATTGACAATGCGGCTGGTCACCCAAGAGTTCTGATAGAGATGGACAAGGAGATTAAAGTTGCAGGAAAGCAGTCTGGATCAACGAGTCATTTCAACTTTCAAGTCTTATTATTTAAGAAATATATTTCATAAGGCTATAGCTGTCATAGATAGTGATTCCTCTGATGGATTTGGGTAAATTTTAAACCTCTGGAAAGGATTCACCATTCTAGATGCCATTAAGGATATTTGTGATTCATGGATGGAGGTCAAAATACTAACATCAATAAGAGATGGGAAGCAGTTGATTCCAACTTATTTTCTACTTTATATGTTATTTTCTTAGAATGCTTTCTTCTCATATAACATTAAAAATGATTCCAACCCTCATGGGTGACTCTGAGGGGTCCAAGACTTCAGCAGAGGAAGTCACTGCAGATGTGGTGGAAACAACAAGAGAACTAGAATTAAAAGTGGAGCCTGAAGACATGACTGAATTGCTGCAATCTCATGATAAAACTTGAATGGATGAGGAGTTGCTTCTTATAGATAAGCAAAGAGAGTGGTTTCTTGAGATGGAATCTGCTCCTGGTGAACATGCTGTGAACATTGTTGAAATGAAAACAAAGGATTCAGAATATGACATAAACTTGGTTGATAAAGCATGGCAGGGTTTGAGAGGACTGACTCCAATTTTGAAAGTAGTTCTACTGTGGGTAAAATGCTATCAAACAGCATTGTATGCTACCAAGAAGTTTTTCACGAAAGGAAGAGTCAATCAATGTGGCAAACTTCATTGTTGTCTTATTTTAAGAAATTGCCACAGCCACCTGATCAGTCAGAAGCTATCACCATTGAAGCAAGACCTTCTACCAGCAGAAAGATTACAACTCTAATGTACATGTCAGGATAGACATTATCCAAAAAACAAAAGATAATTAGTGTTGGCAAGAATGTAGAGAAATTGAAATCCTTGCACAGGTGGAATTACAAATGACGCACCTGCTATGGAATACAGGATGGAAGTTCACCAAAAAAACTTTAAAAAATTAAAAGTAGAACTACCATAAAATCCAGTAATCCCACTTCTAGGTATTTATCCAAAAGAGTTGAAATCAAAATCTCAACAAGATACTAGCACTCTCATGTTCACTGCAGTGCTATTCATAGTAGTCAAGATGTGGAAACCGACTAAATGTCCATCAACAGATGAATAATAAAAACGCAGCATACATAAGCAATGGAATATTGTTCAGCCTAAAAAAAAAAAAGAAGGAAATTCTTCAATGTGAGACAGCATGGATGAACCTGAAGGGCATTATGCTAACTGAAATAAGCCAATCCCACAAGATATATAATACACAATTCCACTTATATGAGGTATCTAAAATAGACAATGTCATAGAGCCAAAGAGTGGAATGGTGTCACCAGGAGCTGGAATGAGGGGAAATAGGGAGTTACTAATCAACAGGCTTAAAGTTTCAGTTAAGCCAGATGAATAAGTTCCAGAGATCGACTATAGAATGTTATATTTAGAGTCCACAATACTGTATTATACAGCTAAAAAATTGTTAAGAGGGTAGATCACATGTTAAGCATTCTTACCACAATTTTAAAAACAAGTGTAGTTATTAATAAGGAGAAAAAATATATAATAATCCCCCAAATATTTTTAAAGCCATTTTTTAAACATTTAACCTTCATTTTTTACTGCTTTATTGAGTTACAATTCACACATTATACACTTTCAACATCTGTTTTTAATTTTTAAAATTATCCTGGTTTA